ACCAAAAAAAAAAAAAAAAAAAAGTAGAATGGAGGGGGACAAAGGTGAAATCAGGGAGACTAGTTAGAAACCTATTGTGCAATTATCCACTGAAAAATGGCTCAGACTAGGGTAGAGTAGAGAAGTGGTCAGTGTCTGGATACCTTTTGAAAGTGAAATGGGTGTTCTTAACAGAGATGAGTCAAGGTGATTTAAATGTTTTTAGCTTGAGCAGCTAGTATGGAGTTGTCTTAATAGGGAAGACATGTTTATAGGAAGATCAGAAATTTGGTTTCAAACATTTTGACATGTTGAATTTGAGATGTCTACTAGACATCAAGGGGACATGTTAGGAAGGCAGTCAAATTAATACGTGTCACTGTCTCTGTCCCCACAGCTGACCAACCAGGCATGGCTCTGGGATGGGGTTCGAGTACCCCTCCACCAAGTGCCCTATACTGTGAAGGGCTGTTTCCGCTTCCTGCCCCCAGCCCAGGTCACTGTTGTGGGCAGTTACCTTCTGGGCACCTGCATCCGGCCGGACATCAATGTGGATGTGGCATTGACCATGCCCAGGGTGAGGTTCAGAGTTTGGGGAATGGAGAGGTCTGCCATTTCACCACCCACGAATCCCTTGATCCCTCTCTTTTTCCCACCTCTCGCTTGCCGGGGCATTGAAATCTGAATTCTAAATCCAAAGAACAGACCACTGCAGTTGTCCTGAGGGAGCTTAGATTTGCCATTTGGAACTTTGTCTTCCTCGTCTGAGTTGTGGTATTGCTAGCCTTGGCTTAAGCATCCTGGCCAGCAGATGGGGTTGCCAAGCTTTGACCTTGGCTTTATCTTGGCCCCCAAGTTCTCCAACAGCAAGAACTTAAGTGACTGGCCATCCCTCTCTTCTCCCGACCCCCTCCAGGAGATCCTACAGGACAAGGATGGGCTGAACCAGCGTTACTTCCGCAAGCGTGCCCTCTACCTGGCCCACTTGGCTCACCACCTGTCCCAAGACCCACTCTTTGGCAGTGTTCGCTTCTCCTACACCAATGGCTGCCACCTGAAACCCTCGCTGCTGCTGCGGCCGCATGGTGGGAGGCACATACCGGGTGGAGGGCACCGTATGGGGTGACAGATCCAGTGGGGGCGGAACTGGGGCCTCAAGTCCACGGTGAGAAGCTTGGGCCTCAAGTTGGAGGGGAAAGGTGTAAGGCCCTCAAATGGGGAGCGGGGGTGGTGCGGGTGGTACAGGGGCTCCTCCAGCTCCAGGGGGCTGCAGGGTCTCAGCATCTCCCATCTTCCCCCAGGGAAGGATGAGCGTCTGGTCACTGTCCGTCTGCATCCATGCCCTCCACCTGACTTCTTCCGCCCGTGCCGCCTGCTGCCGTCCAAGAACAATGTGCGCACTGCCTGGTACCAAGGGCAGAGTCCTTCAGAGGATGGTGAGTATCAAGGTGGAGTTGGAGGGAAGGGTGTTGCAGGGACTTCTCTCATGACTTCCCCTTTCCTCCCACAGGTAGCCCAGAGCCCCCCACCCCCCACTATAACACATGGGTCCTGCAGGACACAGCCCTTGAGTCCCATGCACGGCTGCTATCAACCGTGCTGGGCTCAGCCTCGGGGCTGAAGGATGGTGTGGCACTTCTGAAGGTCTGGCTGCGGCAGCGGGAACTGGACAAGGTGAGTGGGGACTGGCCCAGCTTCCCTGCCTCACTGAGTGGTGGGTTGGCTCTGAGCTCCGGCCTTTCCCTCCGTCTCTCCCTCAGGGCCTGGGAGGATTCAGTGGGTTCCTTGTCTCCATGCTGGTTGCCTTCCTGGTGTCTACACACAAGATCCATACCACCATGAGTGGCTACCAGGTCCTGAGAAGCACCTTGCAGTTTCTGGGTGAGGCGGCTGGACTCGGAAAGGCCCACTCATACCCATCAGGGATCACTCGGTCTCTGGTCCTCAGACAGATGAGCAAACCGAATCCCAGAGGCAGGCAGTTGCAGCCACCTGTCCGGAGGGTGGGTGTCACAAGGGCTGGGTCCCTAGGGAGGGGGATACCTTCTGACACACCCACCTTCTCTGGCTCATTTCAGCCAGTACAGATCTGACGGTCAATGGGATCAGTTTGTGCTTCAGCTCAGATCCCTCCCTGGTGAGTAGGGCAGTGCTGAGTCTGGGCAAGGCATCCTGAAGATAAGGCCCAGCCCTGACTTGCTTCTCTCTCCCCCTCCCAGCCGGCCCTGGCTGACTTCCACCAGGCCTTCCCTGTTGTCTTCCTGGACTCCTCAGGCCGTCTCAACCTCTGTGCTGATGTCACTGCCTCCACTTGCCACCAGGTACAGGTGTCGCCCACTCCTGGCTTCCCCAGATGTCCCAGCCCAGACCCTGTCCCTTCTGCCAGCACCAGAACCCCAGAAACTCCTCTCCAGAGACCTTCGGTCAGGCACGTCTCTGGGTCTGGGCCCTGTGTTCCGTGAGGGGAGGGGTGCAGTGCTGGTGGTCTCACGCGGGAGTTCCCTCCTCACTGTGTGGCCCCAGGTGCAGCACGAGGCACGGCTGTCTATGGTGTTGCTGGACAGCAAAGCTGACGATGGGTTCCAGCTGCTATTGATGACTTCCAAACCCATGATCCGGGCTTTTGACCACATACTGCAGTAAGTTTTGGGGTGTCAGGATATGCCAGTGAGTCCTGTTTCCCTGGGGCTAGTGATGGGGCAAAGGTCCTCAGGCAAGTGCTCAGATAGATCATCCTGGTGGTGGGGGTGGTGATACTTGGGGCCAGCAGTACCTGATTCCCCCTCATTGTCCCTCTCTGTCCCCCCAGTCTCCGTCCACTGAGTCGCCTGCAGGCAGCGTGTCACCGACTAAAGCTGTGGCCAGAGCTGCAGGATCATGGTGGGGACTATGTCTCAGCTGCTTTGGGCCCACTAACCACCCTTCTGGAGCAGGGCCTGGGGTCCCGGCTGCACCTGCTGGCCCACTCTCGGCCCCCAGTCTCAGAGGTGAGATGGTGTTGGTTGGGAAGTTTGTGGGACCGAGGGGGTTGGACCCAGGGTCCCAAGAGATACAAAAGACACACCATCCCTCTCACTAGAAAGTGGGTTTCCAGACCAAGCTGTGGGATGCTTGGATTGAGCTCAACCTTTCTACATCCTACAGTGGGACATCAGCCAGGATCCACCGAAACACAGAGACTCCGGGGTCCTGACCCTGGGATTGCTCCTTCGGCCTGAGGGGCTGACCAGTGTTCTGGAGCTGGGTCCAGAGGCTGACCAGCCTGAGGTGAGGAGCCCTGGAGTCTGAGGGGTGATTTGGTCCTGTCTTGCATTGGAAGGAGTGGAGTGGACTGTCCTCATGCCACCTGGATTGAGGCCTGTCAGGAGACTTCTTTCTTTTTTCTCTTTTTTGCAAGATTTATTTATTATCTATTTAGTTAGTTTATTTTTGGCTGCATCAGGTCTTAGTTGCGCCACGCGGGATCTTTGTTGAGGCATGCAGGATCTTTCATCGTGGCTCACGGGCTTCTCTCTAGTTGTGGCGTGTGGGTTTTTTCTCCCTAGTTGTGGAGTTCAGGCTCCAGGGCGTATGGGCTCTGTAGCTTGCGGCACGCAGGCTCTCTCGTTGAGGTACGCGAGCTCTGTAGTTGTGGCACGCGGGCTTAGTTGCCCCGCGGCATGTGGCATCTTATTTCCCCGACCAGGGACTGAACCCACATCCCCTGCCTTGTATAGTGGATTCTCTACCACTGGACCACCAGGGAAATCCCCTGTTGGGAGATTTCTGACAGAGCCCTTCTTTGTTGCTCTCTACCACTACCCCTTTCCTCTTCCCAGGCTGCTGACTTCCGCCAGTTCTGGGGATCTCGCTCCGAGCTTCGGCGTTTCCAGGATGGAGCCATTCGGGAAGCTGTGGTCTGGGAGGCAGCCTCTATGGCCCAGAAGCGCCTTATTCCCCACCAGGTGGTCACTCATCTCTTAACGCTGTGAGTGTTAGCATCTGAATGCCAGGAGGCAGCCATGGGCTGGGGAGCCTTTTAGGAGGGTCTGGCCCAAGCTTTTGGGGTGAGCAGCCCACATCCAGTAGCTCTCGGCATGGCCCCCAGTGCCCATACTGTGCCTGTGCCCCTTTTCCAGCCATGCTGACATCCCAGATACCTGTGTCCACTATACGGGTGGCCTCCTGGATGCACTGATTCAAGGCCTGAAAGAGGTAAGGGCCCTGGTTCAGGGCTTGGGTTAAGGCTAGGGACTGTAGAGTAAGCAGCCTGTGTGGCTGGATTTGGGGGTGGGGATGGGGGTGGAGAGCCCCACCTTAGCCAGGCTGCACTTGCCAGAGCGTCCAGCAGGGGACCCCCTGGCTCTGCAGCAGCAGCCTGAGCCATGGCTGTATCCCAGGCGGTGGGGCTCTTCTGAAAGGTTGTGCCCTCCTGTCTTTCCCTCTCAGACCTCCAGCACAGGTGAGGAGGCCCTGGCAGCTGCGGTGTGTTGCTACGATGACCTCAGTCGCTTGCTGTGGGGACTGGAAGGTCTGCCGCTGACCGTGTCTGCCGTGCAGGGAGCTCACCCAGTGCTGCGCTACACTGAGGTGAGGCGCAAGGGGCAGGGAGCTCTTTCTGCTTCGTGACACCCACCTCTGCTCCACTCACCCAGTATTCTCCCTTCCAGCTTCTTGACTCTGGGCACTCCCTCCCAGTCCCAGGCCTCTTCCTCAGCCCCCCTTTTTCCATAGGTGTTCCCACCAACCGCAGTCCGGCCAGCCTACTCCTTCTATGAACAGCTGCAAGAGCGGGCCTCGCTGTTGCCCCGGCCTGACAAGCCCTGTCCAGCCTACGTGGAGCCCATGACTGGTGAGGGAGCTCTTGCGAGGGGGTGGGAGGGACTGTTCTCACCCCAGGCCGCAGGCTGAGGCCTCTCACTCTTCTCCACAGTGGTATGTCACCTGGAGGGCAGTGGGCAGTGGCCGCAGGATGCTGAGGCCATACGGAGGGTCCGGGCTGCCTTCCAGCTGCGCCTGGCAGAGCTGCTGACGCAGCAGCATGGGCTGCAGTGCCGCGCCACGGCCACGCACACCGATGTCCTCAAGGTTCGGCTGGTGCAGGGCAGGGATACCCAGGGAGGGAGGGGACAGGAGTGTCAGGGTGGCCCGCCTCCCATGCCATCCCCTCTTCCAACAGGATGGGTTTGTGTTCCGGATTCGTGTGGCCTATCAGCGGGAGCCCCAGATCCTGAGGGAGATGCGGAGCCCCGAGGGGATCATCTCCTTGAGGGACACTCCCGCCTCCCTCCGCCTTGAGAGGGACACTAGGCAGTTGCCCCTGCTCACCAGCACCTTGCATGGGTATGGCCACCCCCACAGGCTTTTATGTCCGTAGACCCTTTCCTGGCCCCATTCTGCTCTCCTGGCCATCTGTCTCGCTGGAAGGCCGGTTGGAGAGATGATTTCTGGAGTCAGGCAAGTGCCAGAACCCTGGCCCTGCCACTTTACTGGCTGTGTCCCTTGGGCAGCATTCCCCCTCTCCTCAACCTTATTTTTCTCATTTGTAAAATGGGAATCATGCTAGGACCAACCTCTTGGGGTACTAATTAGGAAGATGTGAGATGATACGTGTAATGCATTAGCACAGAGGCTAGTGTTGGGTAAAGAAAGTTGAGTAAGTAGCAGCAGCGGGGCTGAAACACTCTCCTTGGGCCCTGAGGGCCTCACTGTCATGGCCACTACCCTCCTCTCCCCGCAGACTCCAGCAGCAGCACCCAGCCTTCTCGGGTGTGGCTCGGCTGGCCAAGCGGTGGGTGCGCGCCCAGCTCCTAGGTGAGGAGCTCACTGATGAGAGCCTGGACCTGGTGGCTGCTGCCCTTTTCCTGCACCCTGAGCCCTTCACCCCTCCCAGGTGATTCCCTCTACCTTTCCCCTAGCCAGGAAGTTCCACTGGGGCCAGCTTTCATCCCCCGTGCTTCGGTCCACATGGGAGAGGTGGCTGAACCAAGGGACAGAAGGGGTTCTAACCGCCCCCCGCCCCCCCGCAATCCACACCAGGGGGCCTAGGCTCTCTGGGCCGCGGGGGGCCTGGGCATGTGTGACTGGCCCAGATGCTTTGCTTACCCCTTCCTCTCAGCTCCCCCCAGGTGGGCTTCCTTCGGTTCCTTTTCCTGATATCAACCTTTGATTGGAAGAACAACCCCCTAATTGTCAACCTCAATAATGAGCTCACTGGTAAGTGGTAGGATCAGGGTCGGACTAGTGCAAGAACTACGCTTTGTGGATTGTAGAATAGGGCAGTCAAGGGTTTTCCCTGTCAGTCTGTTAGGTTTTCTCTCTGCCTCCCCTAACCCGGATATCCACTCCTGACCCTGACTGCCTGGGGGTAGGGAATTGTTAAGGAGGAAGAGGACCAAATCAAGCCTTTAGGGAGCTCTAAGACTGTAGAGATATGGTTTGCCCATGTGATGATCAGAAACACAGCGGACTGGGGATGGTAAGCAGGCTACCTGGGGGGCTGTGAAGGGAAGAGGAGAGAGGAAGAGGGGCTCTGAACACCAGGTGAGAAGTCTTACGGTGGGGAGCAGAGAACGGTTCAGGCTAGAATACATGCCCAGACCTCTTGGGTGCAGGGTCGGTGGCTGGGGGGGCGGGGGGGGGGGTAGGATGGAGGGGTGGATTGGCAGCGGTAGGGGGGGGGGGGGGGGGGGCGGGTGAGTGATGATTTTTGGTTGTAATATGAGGAGCTTCTGGTCCCAGCACAGAGGAAGGTATCAGCTTTCTAATTCCCAGGTGTGTGGGAGCCCAGGGTAGGAAGGGGCCAGGGGCAGGCCTCAGCTTGTGCAGGCCCGGAAACCAGACTAGGGTGCCAGGCAGTGGAAAATTCTGCTTCTGGTCCCAGGCTGGGAGTTTAACACCCTGCCCAGTTGAGGCAGATGCAGTGTCCCTTTCATCGCTTTTGCCATTTGGGGGATGTTGGAAAATCCCTGTGATGGGCAGCTGCTAAGTGTACAGTAGGAGGACCCAGGGTGGTAGAGGGTGTCTGGGGGGAGGAGTAGTCTGACCCAAGACCCCCTCTCCTCTGCAGCGGAGGAGCAGGTGGAGATCCGCAGTGTCTTCCTGGCAACCCGGACAAAACTCCCCGTCATGGTCATCATTACCCCCCAGGATCGCAAAAGCTCTGTATGGACACAGGATGGACCCTCGCCCCAGG